CCTGAGAAGCCCAGAGTGGCCCCGACCTGCTGGACTCGGGTCTAAAAGGCGCCGAGCTGTGGGCGGGTCGGGGGAGCCCCAGGAGGGACCTGCAGCCTGGTCCGGGATCGGGGGAGTCCGCAGCAGCTGCGCCCTCGTCACACCGAAGGGCCGAGGCGGGGACGAAGGGTCTGGAAGAGCGGCTGCTGCACCCTGGCGCTCCCGGGAGCATCCCCCCGCCCCTCCCAGCTCAGCGCCGCCTCCGCTGCGCTCCCCGGGCCCCGCCTGGGCGGACGCGCGGCTCGCACCGGGGCAGAAGCGCGCGCCGAGGCTGCGGAGCAGCGGCATGGAGGAGGAGCCGGCGTGGGAGACCGACGGCCGTGAGTCCGCGGCGCGGCGGGGTCGGGGTCGGGTGCGGGCAGAGGCCGAGAGGGTGCCCCGCATCCCCACGGGGGTGACCAAGGCTGCGGTTGGCGCGGTCCGCGTGGCCACCTCCGTCCCGGGCCTCTCGGCGACGCCCAGAGGAACGCGCACCGGGCTGAGGGGACATTGGCCGCGCGTCTGGGATTCGGCGGCGCTCCTCGCTTGGAAGGCCGGGAGCTGCGGCGGCGGAGATATTAGCAAGGAATAAGATGGTAATGCGATCCTTTATTGAGTGCTTACTTTGTGTGTGGGCCGAGCCAGGACAGGGCACGTTATTTGATCTTCACAGAGGCCCTGTGGGGAGGACCTACTGTTATCTCCATTTCGCAGAAGAGAAAGCTGAGGCGCAGGGTGGTTAAGTTGCCCAAGGCCACAGAGCCGTTAAGTGGCTGAGGACCACAGCTCCCCGACAATGTCGGTGCTGGATGGGGAGTGCAGACCATATCAGGTGGGGAGGTTGAAACCCGGAGGAGAGGAGCTGTGGTGTGCTGCACGCAGGTGGGATGAGGGCACCTCACAGCCTTCTTCAGGGAGTGTGCCCAGTGCCAGTCGCTCTAGGCCGGGCAGCAGCATCCGTGTGGGCATTAGCCGGCCTGGGAGGCTTTGGCTGCACTCCTGGGAGATGGGAGAGAAGGATTGTGCCAGTGACCTCACTGGGATGGGGATGGGTGGGGGGCTCTATCAAGGTGATAACTATTTCAGAGGGGTACAGAGTTCTTCTTGGGGCAGAGGATCACCTGAGTGGGCCCTTAAAGAATGTGCAGCAGTGGAGCATTGGGGTGTGTGGGAGGGAATTCTGAGCAGTGGACCCAGCATGGGCTCAGAGGCCAGAGTGCGGTGTGTATCTGATGTGGCCAGGAAGAGGGTGCATGGGTTGAGGTGGATGGAAGAGATGAGACTGGACTTGATTTCATTGGCTTTATCGAGAGTCGGCTGCTACCATTGGACTCTTGGCTGTTTGCCAACACAAACCAGGCCACTCCTCTTAGGCTTCAGCTAAGATAAAGGGTGTCTGAGCTAGAGGGGATCTCTACAGATCACTTTCTTCACCATCCCCAATTTTACAACGGAAGAAACTGAGACGCCCAAGGGGGACGTGACTAGCTCAGGATCCTGCTGCTGGAACGTGGCAGAATCAGTACCAGAACCCAGGCTTCTCTAAGCTCACACCTGAAGTGCCAGCCCTTTTCCCGAACCTGGGTGGTGGTGGTTTTCAGCCAAGAGGTTAAGGAAAGAAAAGCTCAGAACACAGTGCTTCCTGGAGATGTTTGGGATCTAAGAGGGGTTCTTCCAGAGCCTGTTATGTTACTTTGAGAAAGGCCCCCTCCTTACCTACAGGAAAGGCAGACCCCTGGGGTGGGCAAGGGTGGAGCTGTTAGTGGGGACCCACTTGGAAGGTGGTATTTCCCCCATTCCCCTGAAGGGGTGACTTGAGCTGCCTTCTCTGTGGAGCTCTTTCCTGCCATTTCCCTGAGCTTGTGGTTTGGTTTTCCAGGGGACCCATGAGTCTTAATTGGGGCTACATCTTGTAGTTCAAAGGCCCCTGAAGAGATTTAGTGATTTGTGTGTCACTCATTCGTTTAACAAATACGTGCCAGGGCCTGAATTCGGGGATACGGCAGTTAACAAATTAGACAAAAATCTCTCCCCTTGTGAGCTTATATTATAATGGGAGAAGCAGAAAATAAACCTAATAAATATGTAAATATAGCATATGCTGATGGTGAGGGGTGCTATGGAAAAAAACAATGCAGGGAGGTGAGTAGGGAGGGTACTTCCCTTGGTTGGGGTTTCCCTGGCTCAGAGGGCCCCAAATGAAGGAGGCCCCACCACCTCCAGGTCTTTGGCGACCAGAATTTATTCTCTGACTCTTTGCCTTGGAGGAATAGTAGTGACGATGATGATGATGGCACTATTTACCAGACACCATGCTAGAGGCTTTTCATGTGTTATATCTAATCATTACAATAACCCTGCCGAGCAGTTCATATCCCCATTTTGCAGATGAAGAAGCTGAGGCACAGGATAATTAAGTGGCTAAGTCACACAGCCAGGAAGTGGCTCAGCCAGTGTTAAACCCAGGGCTGTGTGATTGCCCTGGGCAGAGCTCTGAGAGCCACAGGTCGTATCTATGAGGCCCCAGAAGGCCTAAACCCTCTCCCACATCTGGAAAGCTGTGTAGAATTCATTTGGAAAAACACATGGATGTCAGGACTGTCTGGCACCTCAACACATCCTAGCCTTCCCTGCCAAGACATTGGCCACCTGTCCCTGGATATGCAGAGGGGCTGGGTCTGGACGTTCACACTGGACCGAACATGCAGGATGTGGGTATTGGCAGCAATAAAATCACAAGATTGCCTGCCCTGTAATGACTGTGCGAAGGGCCAGCAAATATTTGTCCCTCCATCTAGTATGTCTAAGCCTTTCTGGAGAAGGGATGAGCATCCATTAGTCTGGGGATTGTTAGTGTCACTCCTGGAAGCAGAGTTTTGTGGATTCCTCCCTTTGCCCAGCTGTGACGTGATTTATAAGAAATATATGTTTGGTTATGCAGATGACCAAAATATATTTCTCATGTATATTTGGTCTTCATCCACAGTTCACAGCTCCCAAAACCCTTGGAATTTCCTAAGTGTTGAGAGTGAGCAATATATCTTTTGTTATGTTAACGAGAGGACTTTTGGCAAGCACCTAAGGATGGGGAATGGTTGCCAGTAGAGCCAGTCATGTAGTTAGAGGGTTGGAACTTTCATTCCCCACCCCTCTGACCTCTGGGGAGGAGTGAAAGGGCTGGAGGCTGAATCCATTGCCAGTGGCCAATGGTTTAATCAGTCATGCCTATATAATGAAACCTCCATAACAACCGAACAGGACAGAGTTCCGAGAGCTTCTGGTTGGTGAGCATATGGAGACGCAGGGAGAATGGTGCTCTAGAACAGGGCATGGAAGCTCTGCACCCTTTCTCTATACCTTGCCCTGTGCATTTCTTCTATCTGGCTGTTCCTGCGTTATATCCTTTTATAATAAACCAGTACTCTAGTAAGTAAACTGTTTCTATGAGTTCTGTGAGCTGCTCTGGCAAATAAATCAAACCCAAAGAGGGGGTCGTGGGGAACCTCCGCTTTATAGCCAGTTGGTCAGAAGTACAGGTAACACCTGGATTTGTGATTGGTTTTCTGAGTTGGGGGGTGGTCGTTGGAAACTCCAGTCTATAGCCAGTTGGTCAGAAGCACAGGTAACAAGCTGGGCTTGCAACTGGCATCTGAAGTGTGTGGGGGGCAGTCTTGTAGGACTGAACCCTGAGCTGTGGAATCTTTTTTTTATTTTTTTTATTTTTTGTGTGTCTGAGGAAGACTAGCCCTGAGCTAACATCTGACGCCCATCCTCCCCTTTTCTTCTTGAGGAATATTGGCCCTGGACTAACATCGTGCCCATCTTCCTCCACTTTATATGGGACGCCACCACAGCATGGCTTAACAAGCGGTGCGTCGGTCCTTGCCCGGGATCCGAACCTGCAAACCCCGGGCCGCCGAAGCGGAGCCCGCACACTTAACTGCTGTGCCACGGGGCTGGCCCCCTGTGGAATCTGATAATATCTCTGGGTAGATGGTATCAGAATTGAGTTGAACTGTAGGACACCATGCTGGTGTTGGAGCATCGCTTATTGATGTGGGGACCCCCCCCGACACACACACATTGGAATTGGTCTCAGAACACCACTGACCAGCTTTGGGCCTGTTGTAAACTGTGAGTGGTTTGGGAAGGATCAGGTGCGGCCAGGGCCCCCATAAGGATGACGGCAGCGTGGGGGTCTGGTGGGATGAGCCCTGGACCACGTCACCAGGCCTGGGTCCTCCTGGCTTGGCCACCAACCCTCTGAGTCCACCCCTGCCCATGGCAGGGGGTTGGTGGGGAAGATGAAGGAGCTGATTGAGCGTTGAGGTTCCCTCTAGTCTGGGACTGTCTGAGATAAAGATGCAGTATGAGCATGAGAGGAGTGCAGAGAGAGCCCACAGAGAAGGCGCATCAGAATGGGCCCCGTGGTTGGGAGGCGAAAGCTGGTTAGGCTTTGGGGAAGAGGAGAGAAGAGGTGGAGGCACGAGGGCGTAGAAGCTGGGTGAATGCCTCTGGCCTCGCCTGGGCCTGACGCAGTGGGTGGCTTGGTAAATCCTGGCTGCCTTCCATACTGACAGAGCCAGGAAAAGGCAATGGAACTACCACGACTCCAGTGGGAGTGAATCCCATTCCCTTTCCCGAGAGCAGCTCTTGGCAGGGGACATGAAACCTGGATGATGGGGCACTTGGCGGGGTGAGGGGCACACACCTGGCTCCTGTGGATGGTTGTGCCCATGTTCTCCCATTGCCAGAGTTTTGCCAAGTCCTGTTCGTGTGGACATGTGGTGAGTTAGAAGGAAAAGCAGCCTGCCTGGGGAGGTCCCCACCATGGAAAGGGAGGAGGGGCATCTCCCCTACCCACCGTTCTAGCTAGAAGACCACCTGCCCAGGAAACGTTAAGGGCCAGGGAGGGGCTGTTCCTCGCTCCTCATCCTGCATCCCTTTTTCTCCCCGTAGTGCTTCCTCTGGAGAGGCAGCTCCACGAGGCCGCCCGCCGGAACAACGTCGGGAGGATGAAGGAGCTGATCGGGAGGAGAGTCAATGTCAGGGCCAGAAACCACGTGCGTGAAGGGGCTCCTCTGAATTGGGGACCCTGGGATAGGGATAGTGCCACAGTGCCCCCTCCGCACAGGAGGGACATTCATGGAGCCTGAGGCAGGCGCACTGGCATGTGTTGACTTGGGGACGGCTCAGGTTATCCACACTGTCTCAAGCTCTCTGAGGCCTCTCCCAGAGTCAGGGTCAGGATTCCGAGCCAGGCTTGGGCAATTGCAGAGCTCATACTCTTAACCCCTGTGACCCATGGGAAAGGCACACCCAAGGAACAAGGTTAGAGTCCAGAGGGCCGGGGGTCAAAGGTCAGGAGTCAGAGGCTGGCAGACAGGCAGTTAGGGGCAGACACTTGGAAGGACAAAGATGGAGTGGTGCCTGTGGTCAGAAGTCCAGGGATTCAGGAGCAAGAAACCCAGTCCAAGAGAGCCTGAGCATGCGTGAGGCAGCAGTTTAGCTCAGTTCTCTGAGGGCCTGTTGTGCCCACTGAGTGTGTACAGCTGCAGTGGGCCCAGACCTGCTGTCTGGGGCTCAAAGACCAGGCAGGGAGGCAGACCCAGCCCTGCTGATCAGGCCTCAGGGAAGGCCACAGGTGGGGTGGTCCACAGCCCTGCTGGGGAAGGGGACAGGGAACAGCCATTTCTTCTGGTGGGGGACACCGGGGATAGGCCTGGGTACCACCTGGCATAGGCTCTTCCCGCCTTGGGGCTTCTGGCTGTCAGGAGCATCTTAGAGGAGATGCTGGCCTGCATGGAGGTCAGCGGAGGCTGAAAGGGTTGAATGCGGGATTCCTGACTGCAGCAGAGGCCGCGCTGTCTGGGGTGACACAACCAGGGTATGACCTGGGTCTTCAGAGCCTGCCTGGGGCTCAGTAATAGTAACAGGGATTCTAGGGTGTGTCTGGTGCATTTTGATTTTCAGAGCAGTCTCCACCTGTTTCCTGGTGGTCCTCATTCACCCCAGAAGAGGCGAGGAGGGCAGGAAGCATTAGTCCTATTTATAGATTGAGGCAAGCACAGAGGGGGCAGCAAGTCACCTTAGGTCACACAGCATGTTATTGGTGACTGGAGCCTTGGTCTCAACTACTGGACAAGTTCTTGCAAGGAAGCATGGACTTGCAGGATGATAGGATGCTAATGCCAGGTTCATTCACTCATTCATTCACTCATTGATTGATTGAGTCATTCAATAAGTGTTTATTAAGGGCTTACTATGCCGACGCTATGCTAGGTGCTAGGGACAGAGCAGAACCCATATCAGACGCGGTGCCTGCCCCCTTGAAGCTGATAGTCTAATCGGAGAGGACAGACATTAAACAGAGTATCTCACAAGCAATTCATTCCCACTGTGATAAGTTGAGTGTATGTGGGGTTGGAGGGAGCCCACCCCGCTTACATGGGTCAAGCAAGGCTTCCCAGGGAAGTGGCGTTTTTGCAGGAGCCGGTGAAGGCCAGGGAGTGGGGAGAGCACGGGCAGAAGCCTTGAGGAAGGGAGGAATAGCTGGTCCCCAGAGAGACCACATGGAAAATTAGTTTCCTTTTGTTTTCTTCTCGCAAGCCAAAAACTGCAGAGGGAAGTGGGTTCATGGGTTGGAGGCTGGCTTCCCCCAGGCCTGCTCAGCTGTGCGGAGGGCCAGAGACCATGATGAACTGCCAGGGTGGTGTGACAATTAGGTGGGGAATCAGGCCCCTTCAGCCCCTCTCTGAGGGAAGGAGGGAACAGAACCCAGGCCCTTGGGCCCTCAGGGACTTGGAGAATAATCCTCAGACACAGGTGGCTGTCCGGCAGAGGGAGCAGCAGGAGCAAAGGCAGAGGGGGGCAGTTGTTTGGCATTTCTGAGAAGCCCTGGTGGGCAGGCTGGGACATCAGGGCCTTATAGGCCCCAGGGTTAGGAGTTTGTCCAGGAGCAGTGGGAAGCTGTGAAGAGTTTTAGGTGGGGGACGGGTGGATCTGGGCATATGTTTTACTACATTCCTTTCAGCTGCTGCCATGGGGCGGGGCCAGAATGGGGCTGGGGCCCCTGCCAAGTGGTCAGAGAGTCAGCAGAGGCCTTTCTACCCTGCAGACCAGTTGTCCTGGCCGGGAGGTGGGGAGGGTGTGGGAGGTGGGCCGGGTAGCCAGCCGGCGCCTCACAGGTTTCGTCTCAATCCTGGCAGGAAGGCAGGGTGGCCCTGCACTGGGCCGCGGGCGCAGGGCACGAGCAAGCTGTGCGGCTGCTGCTGGAACATGGAGCTGCTGTCAACGATGAGGATGTGGTATGGGACCCCTCGTGGAGGCACGTGTGTGTGTGTGTGTGTGTATCTTTCTGTCTCATCGTGGTGGAGGGGCATCGGAGCTCTCTCTGGGTCTACGAGCCAGGGGTCATTGCCAAGGTTGCTGCTGACACAGAGGCACAGGTGTGGGGTGGGCAGGGAGTCAGTCTTCAGGGACCAGTGACACTGCATTGATCTCATTTTTCCCTTGCACAGTCATAAAGATCTCTCCGTTTCAAGGGCCTTTCAGTTCTCCGAGAGCCTTTTCAGTCCCTTGTGATAACTATGTGAACAGGGAGAGATATGAGCTGTGGAACAGAAAATTGGGTGGATTGACAAAGGCCTTATTTGTAAAGTCATCAGGAGGGAGGTCTCTCATGATATGCCACAGGGCTCTCTCCTGACTAACCCTTTAACCAACAACCTGGATAAAGACTAACAGTCTTACTTAACAAATCGGCAGGCAGCACATTGCTGAGAGAGAGCACTGAAGAATAACAGGGTCTACAAAATTATCTATACTGGTTTGGAGAAAGGGCTGAATCTGACAATGACATTTGACAGGGATACACGAAAGAGTCTGAATTTAAATTTTTTTTAAAAAAATTATAAACTTCCCTGCAGAGACTTAGCTTCCATGGAAATACTTTTCTTTGGCCTGGCTTCTCTCTGCTCTCAGGCCCCACCTTGAGGGGGCTTGATTACAAGCGGGGCTGGGAGTGAGTGGGGCGACAACACCTACCTCCCCTCTCCCCCGCCCCATTTCCTCCCTGTACCTGCTTAGGCCTCATTTAGACGTGACTCGAAGGAGGATGTCTGGGATCCTTAGTCTGAGTTTCCCAATAAAACACTGGAACCTCTTGCATCAGCCCTTTTCCCACAAAGACCCCACTCTCACCACTGTGCACTGTTATTTCTTCCTTGAGAGACTGGGTGAGAAAGGAAGATATGAGGGAGAGTAGTAAGAGAGAGTCCTTTTATAAATCGTCTCTGTGTCCTTTGCAACAGTAATAAATAGATTTTGAAAAATAAGAAGGCTGGTGGGCATGCCTACTTTAGTAACAGCAGAATGGAGGAGATACTGGAGAGGAAAATCCTGTTGTTGGGGGAAGGTCTCTAGTGATATGCCAAAGGGCTCTGGCCTGGACAGGTCCTGGATCTAGGACTGTGAAGTATCCCTGGGGTTCCCACTGGCAGGAGGCTTTGACTCCCATGACTCTCCTCCCCCAGCCCTGAGCCTTGATCCTTTTCATTCCCAAGCTCCTTTGGGTGTCTCCCTCTGGACTCTGCCCTGTGCTTATGTTACCGCCCGAAAAGGGGGTTCATCTGTGGGCCACGAGACATGCCAATAGTCAAGAGGCAAGGTAGTAGGAAAGAAAGGACTTTTTATTACAGCTTGCTAGCAAGGGGAAAGATGGCCAACTCCTGTCTGGAAGAACCGTCTTCCTGAACAAAGACTACAGGCCAGTTATATAGAGGGCTGGTCTCCGGGTGGGGGAGGCATCTGGTCCCAGGGTGGGGGCATCCATCTGATCTTAGTTCCTCGCAGTCTTTTGTTCTGCTTGGTATGCATCAGAGACTGGAGCAATGCCCTCTACCCTGATCTTTCAGTTGTCATTGATGATGGCTATCAGCATAGACTCTCTGCCTAGGGGTCATCACATTCCTAAGGAACTCAAAAGAACAAAGTTATCAACTTATAGCAGCTGGGAGGGGCCATAAAGTCCAGAGTTAGTTAAAGCTCATTCCAAGTCACAATATGGTTTCCCCTCTACAATATGGCTTCTCTTATGTCAACCCTGTACTGAGCCGGTATCAATTATTCATTCCCTCCCTCATCCAGCCAGCCCACAGTTACTGGTGTTCTCCCAGGGGCTGAGCTCTTGTCCGCTTTGGCTCTTGCTGAGACCAGCTCCAGTCCTCATCTGAGGTGCTATGGCAGGTCCAGGACCTTCCCCAAGATTTCAGGAGGAAGGGCTTAAATTCTTGTGGTCACTGCTGGCTCTTACTTGTAGACTCTGCTTGGTTTTTGCCGTCCTCTTGAAATTTTGCAAATAGTCCTTGTCTCTACCCTGGCGTTACCCCTAACGTGGATCTCAGTCCTTCTCCCCAGTTTCCACAGAGAGCCCATTCACACAAAGCTTTCGGTGTGCGACAGGCTTTCCAAAACAAGAGATGGAGGGGATTTACATCACACATGAAAACAATGTACAAATCCTAAAATCTGTCTTTGACACTCCTGTTCTTTTAAGTCCCTTGACCCTTTCCTTGTCTTGGCCTCAGTCTCTGCCCCACACCCTACAATGCTCCTTGTCTGTACCACCCCCTTCCTGCCTCCAATTTCTGCCCTTTTTAAAGCAGAGCCATGAAACTCTCTTTGGATGCTCAGGTGCCTGCTGATCAGTTTCACCTTTTAGGTTTCACCTTTCACCCCAACCACTTGTCAAAGCTTTTACCCAAACATAGTTCCTCCGCAAGAGGAATTCTGGTGCCAGCCACTAAGACTCCTTTTCTGGCACCTCACAAAGCCTCTTCATGGAGCCAGTGGGAGTCGGCTGTGATCCAGGGTGTTCTGTGCAGGTGCTGGGTGGGGCACCCTCCCCCCCAGAGGTCCAGACTGTGAAATCGAGGCTGATTCAGGACTAGGAGCTGGCCAACCGTGTCCTTGTGGCACCTGCCCTAGGCCCCAGGCAGCTTGGAACATGCTGAGGGTGGGGATGGGTTAAGGGGAGAGTGATTCCTGAGTTCTTCTTGAGGTGGGCTCTGCGTTTCTGCTCCCAGCTGGACCTGGGAGCATTTGCCTACTGCAGGCCTGCTTCTTATGCTTGTGGGGAGATTCTTTGGCCCATCAGAATGAGGCCACACCGTGGGCTCATTCTATGTATGACAAGGTTTTGGCCTTGCCGGGGGACCTAGAGCCTGTTTCTGTGAGAAAATACGTTCTGGTCTATGAACACCTGACTTACAGACACACTTTGGGGGTGTCCAAAACTGCAAGAGGACAGCACAGCCTCTAGGCCAAAGGTAGTGATGACTCCTGGGCCTCTGTTCTGCTCAGACCCTGCCTGCTACCACCACACCCAAGGAGAGACAGCGAAAAACCATCCCCAGAATGGCTGGCTGTCGACGCATCCTGGGAGGTGATTTTGGAGGCCTGTGGGTGCTCTTCATAGAGGAGGGAAGACTCAGAAGAGGTGAGGGCAAGGGCTGCCCTCAGATGCAGAATCCCACGAGGGCTGAGGTCAGTTAAGGGGCTCTGGTGACCCTGGAGCACTTCGCGGACGTTGAGGAAGAATGCCCTGCAGACAGGTGCTGGGCCACCATCAGAAGAGGGCCTAGATGTGTTTTCAGTTGCTCCAGTGTGGTGGAAGTCACCAGGATGTGGATTTCAGTACAGCGTAAGGAGGGACTTTCTAACGGTGAGCAGCGTGTGATAGTGCAGTGGATGTCTCGTGAGGTGGCGAGGTGCCGTCCCTACACCTGTGGAGGCTTAAGCCATCTGCCTGGAGGATGTTCTGTAGGAGATTCAAACAGTTGATTCTCAAATGCCAGTCCAGGATGAGGTCTTCACCAGTCATAGCAAATCAGAAAAGAAGAACCATGTAGTATGTTTTTCATGAAGCTGTATTTGGAAAGAGTATATTCTGAGATTAGCTCTTTCCAAATTTTTTGTGTTAAAATTGTCCTTCTTTATGAAATGATGAAAGTAGATGGCAGCTGTTTTATTTTAAAGTTTTGTTTAGCACTCCCCCAAAAAAGTTTGCAATAGTATATCAGCCTCTATTAAGAAAAATTTCCTGGGGCTGGCCCCATGGCCTAGTGGTTAAGTTCTGTGCGCTCTGCTTTGGTGGCCCAGATTTGGTTCCTGAGCGCGGACCTACACCACTTGTCGGTGGCCATATTGTGGTGGTGACCCACATACAAAATAGAGGAAGATGGGCACAGATGTTAGCTCAGGGCAAATCTTCCTCAACAACAACAACAAAAATTTTCCTGGACTTTAAATTCCTAAAGCCCAGAGCTCCCTGGCCTGGGTGGCACTTATGGTCCCTCATGGTTGTATGATTTTGCAGTGCAGACAGGGCCCAGGTGGCACAGACACACCTGCTCACTTTCTCCTCTCCTCCCCCATGTCCTCTCCCCCAGTTTGGGATGAATGCGCTTCTCCTGTCTGCATGGTTTGGCCACTTACGGATCCTCCAGATCCTGGTCAACTCTGGGGCCAAGATCCACTGTGAGAACAAGGTAAGGCCTCAGCCAGCAGCCCTCCTGCCCCTGCCCGCTCTGTTCTCCCTGTCCCTGGCTGCACAGGTCTGCCCCACCTCTGCCACTGCCCCATCCTGCCTGCCATGTGCCTCTGCCTGTCTCAGCTTGCCCTGGTCCTCTGAGAACCCTCTGGAAGCCCCACATGAGCTCAGTCCTGTGAAGCTGGGACCCTCGCTGCTTCCCTGAGGGCTAGAGAAGGGCCTGGGGAACCTCTTCCATCAACATTGAGAGCCTCTTTCTTCCAACGCCCCCGACCCTTTACCACCCTGTGGTGTGGGACAGTCCTCATCCCTCTGGCCAGCCTCGTTATTTACACAAGAGGAACCAAAGTAACACCCTCTGAGGGTCTTTGGAAGGTGAGATGAGAGGGGCTAGGCCTTCTCCTCCACCATGCCGGTCCCTGCCTCCCTTGTGGTTCCTGTGGTGGGGTGGAGGGAGGAAAGCACCATTTACCAAACTCTGGGGCCTTGGGCAAGTTACTTCACCACCTGAGCCCCAGTTTTCCCGTTTGGAAACGGGATGCTAGGACTGCCCCCCGGACTGAGGAAGAAGCAAGAGCAGTGTTGTGTGTACGGTACCTGGCTGGGTGCTGGCTGTTAGGGAACCTGCAGTGCCTCGCCCTCATTGGTGTGGGCTGTGGTTTGAGGGAGGAGGGCCCCAGCGAGTGGAGTGCCTGGAATCCCTGCACGGGGGTCTCACCTTTCAGGGCTCAGTGGCCCTTATGAAAATGCAGACATTTCTGGGCCGAATACCTTCAGCCAGGGGTTCTCAACCTTGGTCCTTAGAGAGAATTCAGGGATCCAGGCACTCGGATGGGGAAAAGTACGTTTTTTTTTTCCACTAACTTCTACTTGAAAATTTAGCATTTCTTTCCATGATGAATGTGGATGGTAATAATATTACCTGTGACTTTATCACTAATAGAAAATGCAGCTATTTTCATATCACATTACAGTTTTTTTTT